TATAGTCGTAATAGCTTTGCACTTTCCCCTGATAGTTCCTTTCCCTTACATTCTCTAGACAATGTTTACACTGACAACATCAGACTTACTCGTGCCACAAGTCACCAACGTGGCTATTGTTTGGTTACTCAGACAACGCACATTAAGCCAAATTGACTCGTTACGACCGGAAAAGGCAATTCAGGATGATGCTTATGAGAGGCGGAGGTTATTACTGGATAATCTGCTCGGGGAAGGTCGCCGAGCGGCCATTATAACGGGAGGGAGTAGTGGTGACCTCGGGTATAGGGTACAGGGTCACCACCTCTCGCGGGGGAGGGGTTGAGGTCGACTTGGTGATGCGACAGGTTGAGACCAATGGTCCAGAAACATGTTCCGTTGAGTATTTGGCTGTATGTGACGTATACGATCGAAATGAGACGTTCTTTGTCAGAGGACTGGTTGATTTCTCCCTCGTAAGGAACATTCTTCACTTTGCACTGGTTCCATGCATCCTTCCTTTTCTCTCTAGTCCTTCATTTGTTTTCTCAATCGTCTTTCTCTCCACGTATAGTCAGCCCATGTCACTGTGCGCTTGTGTTCTTGAAATCCTATCTCGGTGTTGATTGTGCTCAGTCCGGCTTGTGACCTTCACATTTTGTCCCACCTACCTCTTTCATCCTCCAGTTCCCCGCCTCCCCCTTGTCCCCCTCCCCCCCTCACTCCCTCCACCACAACCTCCACACCTGGCCTGGGCGTCTTCTAGTCGGATGGCTTCTCTTTGTAGCTCCTTCCCGTTTAATTATCCTTTACCAGAGACGACATTTGATATCTGGTGAGAGGCTGGGATGAGGTGGGGGCTGTGAGGGGCAGGGGGTGGGGGTTATGAGGGACAGGGGGTGGGGGGTTGTGAGGGGAGATGGAGGGTCAGGGAGAGAAGGATGGGGGTGGGGGGATGCTCGTGACAAGACTTTAAGTGAAGAAAAAGTCGAGGGGCGGAGCCTTACACATGGAGGAGACAGGCGTGTAGAGCACAATATACTCCAGCACCCTCCTGGAGCCCGCCACGCAACTCTGGGTACCCAACACTACTCTTCACTTGCACGTTACTGCTCCTTATAGACGCCCGTAGGCCCACCTGTCAGCGCCCTGAGGCCCTCCTGTCAGCGCCCGGGGCCCCGCCGGTCAACCATCCTATCGGGGGATGTACGTTCATATATTTATCTAGGTTGATCCTGTGGTCACCTGCTGGTGGAGCCGGGTGTGAGGGCGCCCCAGTGTGTAGTGTCAAGGGCAATGTCGTACTTTAAGAGAAATTGATTTGTCAATTTATACTTTTATACTTTGCTATGCATAGCATATACTCCATCTTATTGTTTAAATGTACAAGGTATTCACATCTCTCGGCGGATAGCGTTAAACTCTTTATCGGGTGTTCTTATTAAACTTGAAGTCTTGGTGGCTAATTGTTGATATTCAATCACGTGGTAAACATTTCCATCACACAGCCGGCAGTCACTGTACTCGCCTAGTTGTACTTGTGGGGGTTGAACTCTGGCTCTTTGGTCCCGCTTCTCAACTGTTAATTAACTGGTGTACAGATTCCTGAGCCTACTGGACTCTATCATATCTACATTTGAAACTGTGTATGGAGTCGGCCTCTACCACATCAATGCCTGAGAATTGGTGTGGGAATTGATCAATGCCTGAATTGATTGATGTGAGAAACGAAAATTGCGAGAATTGAACGGGATAGAACTTGCATATCTGGACTCCCCCAGGCGCACACATTACTGTTGTTTTTATGATATCGAACTTAACCCCCCATGCATGAAGCATTTAGACGACCCGATGAGAACACCAAGGCGCACCCTTGCTTGTGAACCAGACCAGCTGTGTAAGAGTCCAGACCTGTGGTAATGGGCGCACTTGTACCCATTGTGTGTGTGGAAGCCGGCACCCGCCGTCCTCCATGACTTGTGATCATGGTATACTGTTGTAATCTTCCACAAAGGAAGGAGGGCGACCTCACTCCAGCCACCACACACATTGTTCCCTTCTCATTCCTCATTCTTAGCACATTTACTCAAGGTATGAATATTTCCAGTATGACTTTGTATGACAGTTTACAAGTTGCAGCTTTTATTGTGGACTCGCCACGCCTTGCATTTGCTTGGATTAAAGTCTAGCAGCCATTTGTGTGTGTGGTGATTAACTAGGTCCTGTAGTAATTTGAAATCGTCCTCCTGATTAATTCATCTTATTGGCCGTGCGTCTTTGGAAAATATTGACCAAGTAATTAAGATCCTTCATGTTAAGTCGCAGACAAATGTCGGAAACTGTGTGTTCGTGGCATTTGTGGTCCTCCGCTTGCTTGTCCTCCTCCTCCTTGGTCTCTCATCTCCACACTAACTTGTTTCCTGTCGGGTAGGTCTTCTCATAGTTCAGCAGACTTCCTGGAACTCCGGACTATTTCTGTACTTTATGTAAGAGCCGCCTGTGTGAAACTGTGTCGTAAGATTTTCTGGCAACCTCGTGCAGGGTATCCGGGCCGCGCGGCCTTTACTTACTTTATTTTTACTTCCCTTCCGTGCAAAACGAAGTAAACAAAAACAATAATTCCGTGCTAGGAGTTTCATTGGTCTCATAATTGACCTTTGACCTAACTGGTGTACTTGTGAATGATATTATGAGTTGCACCCTATCCCTTTAGGGAGCCGAGCGGACAGCACGCTGGTCTTGTGATCCTGTGGTCCTGGGTTCGAACCCGGGCGCCGGCGAGAAACAATGGGCAGAGTTTCTTTCACCCTATGCCCTTGTTACCTAGCAGTAAAATAGGTACCTGGGTGTTAGTCAGCTGTCAGGGGCTGCTTCCTGGGGGTGGAGGCCTGGTCGATGACCGGGTCGCGGGGACACTAAAAGCCCCGAAATCATCTCAAGATAACCTCAAGAAGATATCCCATAGCCCCAATGTTTTCTCACGTACGGTTATATTGTGATCTTATTTGCATGAATATATGACGTTAGCCATCTTTCAACTATCGGGTAGTTTAGTCTCTGCAGTAAAGTATTGTACATTATTGACACGTTTGACTAGTACCCCCTCCCCCCCCCATCCCTCTCTGTATGCATAAGATTATTGCCAGCCATTCGTTAGGGCGGCGACTAGAGTTAATGTAAGGAAGTGCGCCGCACAATTCAGGTTGGGCCTCTTAAGGGTAAGATAACGCTAAATGGGAGGCAGATGTTTGGGAGGCAGGCAGGAGGGGTGAGGTGAAGCCCCTGGTGCAGGGGGTGTGGCAGAGGGACGCCAAAGGCAGGAAGGTGAAGGGCGGCTGCTGGGGAAAGGGAATTTTTGGTATATTTTTTCCCCCCCTTTTAAGAAGAGGTCAGTGATGCGGGATGGATCAAGTTTCCCCGTAGCCTCCACCCCCCGAGGGTCTGTGTGCTCACAATAGGGGTTGTCAAGGATTGTTTTGATTTCAGTTTTAAGACTAGACCGGATATCTTTCATTGACTTGCTCACTATTCTGTCTGACGTGAGCCTTTCTCTCGCTCGCGCTGTGATGGGCCGCAACTGCCTGTCTCTTGGAACACACCCGTTACGTAGGGAAGGATGTTGTGTATGGACCTATAACTCGGCAGCCAGCAGAGTGGGTTGCACAGCCCTATTCCCTCCCGTTTGATTCTTCCAGTTAGGGAATGGTGGAGAGTGGTGACAGAACTCAATGGTTAAATGATCATTGCTAGTACGAGGCCAGTGACCGCGTTGTTGCTGCGGTTGTCTCGCATTAATCGATCAGTTTCAGTGTATATTCAGCAATGAAGCGCGTCAATGATTGAGCAAGTACAACTCAAACCGAACTTGCAGGCATATAACTTGCCACTGATTTTTTAAAAACAAAGGCAGTGGACTTGTATACTGTGACTCAGAGTGCACTCCTGGCATTGAACGCACATAGTAGTGACGCCCAGAAAATAGTAATATTCGAATGAATGTTTTAGCTGCTAAAGAAAACAGATTTTTAAATTAAATTCCTTTGAATGCCATCACATGTTGGCATCTCAAGGCATGACACTGTTGATATGCTTGCAAAGACAGCCTATAGAAAACCAGTAGTAGAAATTGATACGAGTGTTTCATTAGCAGTGACAGAGAATACTTAAACAAATATCTAATGAAAATCTCACAGACCTAACAAATTCACAAAGACCTGGAAGTTGCAGCATTTAACATTATGATAAATATCGTGAGATATACATATATGGAACTCAGCAATGCGATGTTACAATGGCCAGAGTACGCCTGGGATATAGACCTATCTGGCAGCTCCCTCAAAACCCAAATGTCGAGTACACAATGTGTAAACTTTGTGAAAGAGAAAACATGCACTCTCTTGAACATTATATTGTAGAATGTCCCATATTGGCTGACTCTCGCCCTCCTGGGCTAAGGTATGCTGAACTGTGTAACTACTATATGATACTAGAACACTTGATATATTGGACTTGTACCCAAGATTGACTATGATATATAACATCTGTTATATAATGTATTGTACCTATACAATGTCATACATTTGTTATACAATGTACCTATGACGTGAACTTTTAAAAGCATCTTAATCACCAGTCAGAGTAGGAGACGGGTGTATGCGTGGATATGTGTACGTATATATGTACGTGTGTGTGTTTGTATACATACGTGGAGGCTGGTCAGAATTGCATTTCACCTTTGTAAACGCACGTTAATGATACTATGTAAAAAGACACCTCGAACACTGTTTATGTAGAACAGACGTAAATCTGTGTATTTATGTATGTAGGTTAGCTTAGCATTTTATAAGCATACAATCACCTTCTGTGGTTCAATAAATCACTGAATTATATGTTTAACAGATCTCTAACCCTGTCCATGGAGGACAGAAGAAATTGTATATATGCTGGTTAGTATTGTAGATGTGTGGCCACGTTTGTGTAGGAAATAATAATAATAATAAAAGGTCTTTGGTCTGGTGCAGCAAGCGTGGTACAGCACCTCCGGAAGACCGACTAACGCTGAGGTGTGTAGACAGTTGTGGTCGTGAACTTGAGAGCCAAACAGGAAGTGGTGAGCCAGGAGGGGTTGAGGAGGAGTTACGAGGAGAGAGAGGGAAGTGTAACCCCCAGCGCTCGGTCAAGACTGGTGAGGGGCAACACTAGGGTGTCAACCTGTTTAGCCAACACCCAGACTCAAATCACGTGCTATCTTAACTGCTGCTGCTGGAAATCGCTGTAATTCTGACTGTACCGAAGAGCTACAGTACAGCTTGCCCGAAATGCTATGCGTATTAGTGGCTCTAGGTATTGTATGCACTAGCTCTATCTCTAAATCCAACAGTATGTTTGTAACTCTGCATCTATGTATGTACTTTTCTTTAATAAAATATTATTTATTATAGGTACACATCAGCAAGCACAAGTCACGGTAACGCCGGGTACACAAACAATGGATAAAGACTTGGAAACTTGGGTGCCGGAATGAACCATAGGGATATTGTAGTTTTATAAATGTGTATGTTAAAAAATAGAGGGACTAAAAAGTGATATGGTGGAGGTAGACGATACACTTTAAAATGTAAGTAACTGCCAAATGAAGTTCGAAAACCTGTATACTCGTGACGAGTAGATTGAATGTTGAGAAGCAGGACCAAAGAGCTGAAGCTCGACCGCCTCATAGCTGAGACTACAGCAAGGAGAATTTATGCCAGTTTCTGGTAATAGCTCGTCTTGTAACATCGGTCGATGTCGTTGTAGAATGATTAGGTTGTGGGCAGGAATTGGAGTACCAAACGTCCACTGCTTTTTCTTAGTTTTATTATAAATATATATATATATCTTCTATCTTCTACACGGGCCACGAACTAGCTTGTAGAGTGTGTAAGGGAGCGCGTGTAGACGCTCTGATGCCCGGGGTGTGTCTGAGGTCTGTGGTCTGCAGCAGAGTAGATTGCATTCAAATCTGCTGACACGTTGTTGATACTTATTAAGTTGTTTAGCTTAAGAGGGTATTAGGTCACCCTATGTGTATGTCCATGGGCGACTAACTGGCGTCCAACAGTCTAAGGCTGTTTTTTTTTTAAATTTTATACAAGTTTTCTTAACTTTTATTATGCATAGACTTGGGTAGTTGAAGCTAAGAGTTGTTGTTGTTGTTTAACATTCGCTACTTGGAACAACAAGTTCCAAGCAGCACGGGCTATGTTGAGCCCGTAGTGGACTGAAAGAAGCACAGAGACATGAGGATAGTTTCAGTGTTAACAGAGTGCAACGCGCTCGGGATGTCTGTCTGTCTGGCCTGAATCTACTTAAAGCTTAACGGAATCAGTCATTGTGATGTATATGCTGAGTTAGTAAAGGGGCCTCGTAGCCTGGTGGATAGCGCGCAGGACTCGTAATTCTGTGGCGCGGGTTCAATTCCCGCACGAGGCAGAAACAAATGGGCAAAGTTTCTTTCACCCTGAATGCCCCTGTTACCTAGCAGTAAATAGGTACCTGGGTGTTAGTCAGCTGTCACGGGCTGCTTCCTGGGGGTGGAGGCCTGGTCGAGGACCGGGCCGCGGGAACACTAAAGCCCCGAAATAATCTCAAGATAACCTCAAGATGCTGCTCTACTTTCCAAAGAGTTCAATATGAGGACCTTGGAGGGTTCAATAATTGTAGTGTGTTTACTCTCCGTACATTTTTAATAAATATTCTCTGCACATTATGCAGGCCAGAAATGTGGCCTATAAATAGAGCAACTGGCAGGTGTCTTCCCCGCCCCGCCCCCCCCCCCCCCCACATCCCTAGTGTCTCGATGTTGTCATTTTGGTATTTGTTTGTTAAAAGTTAATTATCCAGACTATATAATTTGATGGTTTACACTTTACGTCTAAAGATAAAGGTCTCTCTACACTATCACTGGCTATACGTCGTGACGTAGATGAGGTTGTGGTCAGGGTAACGCCTATGTGAACCACCTTCCTATTGGTTCACCATTATCTGCGTAGATAATAGTCGTGGTGTTTGTTTTATTTACTAGTTGTAATTTTTTTTCTGGACAATCTTGTCACTTTTAAGGTCACTCGTATGTTGAGGATTATTTTTGTCATCAGGAGGTTTGCCACATAAATATTAATTAAAACTCGCCATGCAAGACCAGTGGAGTTGGATTTATGAGGCTTTCCGGGTGGTGTTTAGTTTCGTCAGCTGGTCTTGATAGTGTTTGGAAAATGATGATTTAATTCATATACAGTACTATAATTAGTTACATTTTGTTTTAATTATTTTTGTTGGTACTTTCTAGATATTTGTGATAAACGGCTCATTGTTGAGTGAAATTTTCATATATTGACTGGCCCTCCGCCCTCTAACCTGCTTTATCGGTCACATCTGGAAAGTTTGTAGCTGTGTGTTCGTATTCCACTGTTATAGAGGTCTTTAATGTGTGTGTCCACGAAGGGTGAACCACGGCAGGCAGGGTGCAACCCGTTCTCGCACTTTCTTAGTCAATATTGACTTATTAAATACGTGCATATGTGACATACTAAACACACTAGTTTACCTTGAAAAGCTTCATAGAAAACATCGACCTTACCTAACCTTCTTAGTATGTTAAGATAAGCATCTTATTGCTTCGTAATTACAATTATTACTTACCCTATACCTATAATAAGTTAATAACCTATTAATAATAGGTTATATAGCTAATAACCTATACCTATAATAAGTTAAGTAATTGTAATTACGAAGCAATAAGATGCTTATCTTAATTAACATACTAAGAAGGTTAGGTAAGATCGGTGTTTGATATGAAGCTTTTCAAGGTAAACTAGTATGTCACATATGCACGTATTTAATAAGTCAATATTGACTATACGAAAGTACGAGAACGGGTTGCAGGGTGGAGGGGAGACAGTCGCCCAGGAAGTCCTACCCAAGCACTAGTGCTTGCTGGGTTGGTTTTTACGGCAATGAGGACGTCATTTTTTTTTTAGGGGAGGGGGGGGTGTTGGCGAGTTTCCATTGCGAGATGATCTTGGCGAGGGGTGCCATATGACAATAAGATGAACTCCTAAACGCAACCTACTGTATCTGCCCAAAACGCTATGCGTGCTAGTTAGTGGCTCTACAAGAATGTAAACACACCAATGCTATGTACTCTCATAAACCCAATGTGTCTTCTTGTATATATATATAAATAAATAAATAAGCAAACAATCTAGGAGCTCCACCAATCAGACTACAACAACCCACCAGGGTGTGGAATATGGTAGAGTTCTTAGAAAACAAGGTTATGAAGGCGGTGGTGTTATCACAGTAGTGGATGTGAAACTTGGTGCACAACGTGGATTATTTTGCGACGTACTGAGTTTGCCAGGGCAGGCTGCCAGTCGAGTTGAATATTAGGCCGCCTGTTGCTTGGAGGGGCCTGCGGGCTGCTCCAAGCAAACAGCCTGTTGGACCAAGCTCTCAAACGTCAAGCTGGGCTTGGAGTAGAACAACTCCCAGAACCCCATCAAGCAGGTATTATTAAGACAGTTATCTCACTTAATCTGAGAGGTGGAGCCTTACCGTTTGTGATAATCGGTGATCGTCTGTGCAAAGCAGTGGAACCAGACGTTCACTAGTTTTAGATGAATAACTTCTGTCGTAAGTATGCAACAGTTTCGAGAATTGTCAGTGAGGTAAGCTGATTTAATGGAATAATAATTATATTTTGTTTGCCCAATTGGTAAAATGTGTGCCGTGTGATTATTCCTGTTTTCCTCGACCTTATAAAGATTTTACAGTATGACCACTGCATAATATTTTCTTGGGGGGGGGGGGAATGTGGGTCTTTGGTGATTGTTGCATTTGCAAGATGCAGCCTGTGAGTGTGCACTTTGGTATGGTGCACATAACCTATGGCAGTGTTATGCTGCTTAATATTTCTGAGGTGCTCTACGGCCCTCATGAGTGTTGCAACTAGCATGTTTAGCGAGTTAAATTACTGGCTTCTAACTGAACCACCATCTTGGTAATTAGAAGCGGAAACAGTCACACTATATTTAGTAAACTGGACAGTTTTTACTTTCGGAGATAGGCTTTTGAGCATCACTTAAAAGGCATGGGAACATATATTGCTCGCACCACAGTATTCATGTATGTGTACACAACAGTGGACGCAAATGGAAATTGACATGTTGAATATTATGACATATCCAGAAATACTTAAGTTACAGAGTGAAGTAAAAGAACAAGCCTAACTGTCAAACACGCACGCACGCGGATCGTATCAGCAAGCAGCCCTTCCGCGAGTCTGCTTTAGACGTTTTAATTATAATTTCCACACCTTTACTCTTCCTGTGCACCTGTGGCCGCTTCCTCATCCATCTCAGACTCCATCCCACCCCATAAACCGCTTACTTTGTGTGTCGGAGCGAGCGAGGGAGGGGGTCCTGTTGCAGGAGGGAGGGAGGGGTGCTTGTGGAAGGGGTGGGAGGGGTGTTGGGTTACTTATTGTTATGGTGTGGGGGGGAGATGATCCAACCCGACCCGTTATGGTGGCCTTGGTGTGTCCGGCTGAGTTGATTGGCGGGTTTCCCCCCACCTCCCCCTCTCCTCCTGGTTGACACACATGCGCGCGCACCTATTCCCTTCCAGATTGAATATCACATTTAATTTGCCCACTAGATGTGCTTTGCCAAGGAATAGCAGATTGAGCCCATTGAGGGCTATTGGGTAATTAGTTCAGCAGTGTTGTAATTTGCTTATAGCTGAGCAAATATTTGTTCAGCTAGAGTCCTTTTTTGTGCCGACTGTTAGTGTGTTCCACTGGCTGGGCGCGTGACTGGCATGTGCATTGGACTTTCAATAAGCTAACTAGGCTAAGCTATATAACTGTAAATACTATTGATTTATATGGCAACTTTGTAACTAGTTGATCACTTGCTTAACTAAACGAACACTGGATTGGGATTCGGTGTCCTAGTTTGTGTACTGATTGTCTGTAATCTTTCCACCACGGCTCGCAGGATGGGTAGGGCAGTGGGGCGCATAATGAATGAATTGACCCATGATAGGCGTTTAAGCTTAAATGCTTGCCTGCATTTTTTTTGCAGCTGACTGGAGCCCCAGCCTTCAGAGGAATGGAGGGGTGGGGGAGGGGGGGGGGGAGGGGAGATGGTAGTGAGGAAAGTGTAGGAGTGGCGCTGGTGTGGCAGTCACTCCACAAAATCTTGTATATACACACAAGTGTGTGTACCCTGTGTTACCTATCGTACGTTAAGGCTCGTGACTCTACAGCAGCCAAACTTTAATTACGTCTAGGGATACGACACAACTGCGGTTCTCAATAGCGAATCACCAGTATAACCCCTTGATAAGTAATGAGCACAAAATAAATCTTCATTAGGACTGAAGAATAAAGACAATATCTTATCTATATATATTAAATAAATCTCAATAGCAAACAGATGATTATATGGTCACAATATATCACATTAAAATATCACTGTATCTTCCAGACATTAAATTACAATTATAATATATATGGCTATGACAGAACAAAAATGTAACTTAACTCCAAGATGTTATCTCCCTGGTTCCCGTTCAGCTACTGAATAACATAACACGGGAATCAAAACAGATTGCCTTGCCCCGCGAATAAATTGCCAAAGTTACAATATTTATTATTTCAACAATGGAGCAATACATTGTGACAAGAGTAATCTTAAACTAACTTAATGAATAATTAATACATATTGATATACACAAATTAAAGTAATAGTTTCTTTACATAGTAATTAAAATATGCATACAGAAGGGA